TGCCAAAGACAACTAAGATGTCGTCTTATGTATCTTCGATTTGTCCAGTTTCTTGATTTGCTGCCTTTGGATAGATGTACCATTTTGTTTATCTACAGTTGCATTTCAGTGATTCCACGTTGTTTGGTTTGTTCACGGCCAACTATTTTAATTCACTGTAATCGCAATCATCATCTTCCAAGACTTTTCCACATCGAAATGGGTCTGCTACTTTAGATTCGGAGAGTACACACAGCAAATAATTGCTTCTTGTTGGTATCATCTTGATAAGTTTTTGTTGCACGTTTTCTGAGCCATCATTTAAGCAAATAATTGCTTCTTGTTGGTATCATCTTGATAAGTTTTTGTTGCACGTTTTCTGAGCCATCATTTATTAAAACTATTATCTTCCCTTTCTGCATTATTGAATAATCATGCTAAACAACTATTTCATTCGATCCAGGGGCATTTGCTTTGGCAGACTCCAACAAACCTCCTGCAGGAGTCTGTGCTCGAGCACTCAGTTTGCTTATGACCTTCCTCATGACTCTCTTCACCCTGCTTCAATCAGTTCCCATCTGTGTGACAAAGAAGCTTCCAGGCAGAACTCAGTCAGATCAGAACCCACCTTTTTTTCTAGACGCAGATCCGGAGGAGGGTTCCGATTCCCCATCACCAGCATCTGGATCCACAGAAGCTAACCTGCTTTCATCTGTACTGAAAAGACTGGGAGAACTAGAAGAAAAGGTTGGTGACCTTCAAGCAAAGCCATCTGAGATGCCGCCTGAAAAGGAGGAATTGCTTAATGCTGCTGTTTGTCGTGTTGATGCACTAGAAGCTGAGCTTATTACAACCAAAAAGGTAACTTTCGTGCTCGTACATCTATATCTGTCTAGGTTATGCAGGGTATATTTACACTTTCTGGCAGTTATTGCTTTGTTATTTTATCATAATACTAGAAATTGAATTTACCTCCATTGGTTATTGCTATCAATTGTGGGTGAAAGTTCCTTGTGTTTTTCACTTTGTGCGTGTTTGACCTCAGCCGAACTGAGGTGGAGACTGGTATTCACAGTCGAACCAAAAATTTGGGATAAAGGCGTTGTAGATTTTGTTGCTTTAGTAAAAGCGCATATGTTTCTACTCCTTTTGGTCTACATTTTTGTGCTCATTCTGTAAATAATGTGGCTACGCAGGCTTTACATGAAGTGCTAATGAGGCAAGAGGAGCTACTTGCATATATTGACCGTCAGCAAGAGGTTAAGTTCCAGGTGAGTGTAAATTATGTGGAGCACCTATATGTTAGTTATTATTCTCTGTTTTGTTGATAGAGATTACTCTTCATTTCCTTGTGCTACCATTACAGAAGAAAAAGAGGATGCTATGCTTTTGAAGAAAGAGTAATCTGATGCATGCGTCATTTTTTCCTTCTACAATTCCTAGTTTATGATGTGAAAAAGGAAAGGATAATGTGTGAATATGTTGAGTGAGAAACAAGTGTAGTCTGATCCCCGCGGCAATATTCCTTTCTACAATTCATAGTCTATGATGTGAAAAGGATAGGATAGTGTTGATGTAAATATGCCGAGAAAAAAAATGTAGTCAAGGCAATTGTTTTCTACGATTCATAGTTCATGATGTGGAAATGAAAGGATAATGTTGATGAGAATATGTTGAGAAAGCAATGTAATCTGATCTGTTCGGCAAATTTCCTTACTACAATTCATAGTTTATGACAAGAAAAGGAAAAGATAATGTGATGCGATTATGCTGAGAAAAGGAATGCCTTACTGCTGCATTTTCTTCTGCTATATAGTCGTTCCTTCTTGGGCATCAAACTAAATTTGAGTTGTACGTATTACATAGTAGTTCGCGTGATCTTTTGCTTTTACAGTTTTTCCCCTATGACTTTGAATGATGCATGGTATGGTTTTTACTGCAGATATGCAACTCCTTTTGTGCTACAAAATACTTTATTTAAAGCATTCGGATTCTCTATCTTAGACACAGATTATAGTGACTAATTGGTGTCTTCACGTTTTATATGACATGTTATATGAAATGATCCGAAGTATAAAATGAAGCATTGTGAGATAGTTGGTAAGCACAAAGGAAGGAATGATGATATACCTATCAGTATCCCCTGATCTTTATTGTTTTATGCGATCGGGATGAAATTACTTAGTAGCAAAGTTCTATTGTATTCTACTTCAAATCCAGAGGACGAAGCAGAATACCACAATAAATCAAAAGGTCACATGCAGGACTGGAAAAGTCCAAACGCAGGCAACTGAAAAGATTGCGCGATTGTAATATAGAGCAATTTGCGCCATAAGCCAGGTTGCTTACACATTATCATCAGTAAACTAGACAACAGGGATCACATAAACGATTCCAAAGAAGAAAATTTCATGGAAAATTAAAAAAAAACGCGCACCATGACTCCGCAATACCATTTTCAAGTGAAGTTTTTTTTTAAAAAAATTATTTTATTTATTTTTATGTACCCTCTAGTTTCTGTTCATCAAATGAAAGAACTGAACAAAACGTACCCGTTTGAAAGCATCATTTTCCATATGAGACTTTACATTCCCGGATCTTCAGCAAATAAGAACGCCAACGGAATGGTTCAGCCACGCTAATCAAAGATTACAGCATAATAGGGCCATCAATATAATAGAAACCTATAACCGACCCAACTGAAAAAATTATATGCAAGGAAGCGGAAACGATGACAACCCATAAGCTAACCTCCCACCCTAAATATCTACACCTCTGAGAATCTGAACTGTACCCAATAACGCAAAATCGCCCTACATTAAGCCATTGTATGGATTCTGATGTGGGTAAGAAGAAATGTCAGCAGGACCAAAAGGGTTCCCAAAAGGATTGGTGTTCTCCTGGCCCAGAGATTGCTGCTGCTGCCGCCGCTGCCCTTGCATCGTTACTGCTTGTTGTTGACCCATGGTTGCCATTTGAACGTTGGCTGGTGCTGCTATGCCATTGGATGCGTAAAAAGGATCTCGGGAAAATTGAGAAACATGGAAAGGGTTTGGAGCCACCTGGCCCAAATGGTAGTTTGCTCTTCTTGAGATTGCGTCATTGTAGAGGCTGTCCAATGTCGCCTTGTCCAAACCCCCAGCCTGAAAACAGTAATGAAGACCAATGTTGGATCTAAAATTCAGAAGAAAACTTTTTTCATCAGAACGTGGAATTTGACCTACAACTTTCAAGCAGCCAGGCCATGAACGTGACACTGTCATTAGGTCTTATCTTGAACTAATGAGGTGAGTGCAGGTGACAATCTCGACTTGTTCGACTTTTGACTCATAAGTTGCATACATGCGCGAAATGTTTTTGAGTTTGTTGATCTACGACTTAACCATCAGCCTAGTTTGAACTGGCTAATGTTATGAGAAGCCCAGAAAGAGGGTCAAAACAGAGCTTAGAGCCCCAAAAGCAGGCAAAAGAAGGGGTTCGAGCCTCTAAAACTGTCCAGGGACTTAGGAATACAGCTTTAGGCAAGGGAAGTCTTCACTGGAGTGCTTCTGCTAAAGCTTTCATGAGGATTTCCACAAAATTAACCTGGGTGAAACCAGTTCATATTCTTTTCCTGAGCCGACAGAGGCCTGTCATAATAACGCACTCTGCCTGTTCTGACATGCAACTATAGCATACAAAAAGCCTCACCAGTTTGCTCTCTCCAATAGCACTTCTATTGGAAGTTGACGCAGTGACTAAAGCAAGTTCCCACCCAGTTGTTTCACCCATAAGATCGGCACTTGTACTATCTAATGGATCACCTGCGGAAAAAAAATGAAAGATCAGAGAAATTAAAGAAATAACAATTCAATCTAGATAATTATTTTGTGAAATAAAAAATGATTATTTTTTGAAATAAAAATAATGGTGGATTACTGCTCGGAACTACGGCAAGAGCTAAGGCGTTATTCTCTTCTAGCTCTGCAGCTCCCTGGCTGGCGTCATCCAAGCCCTGCAAGTACAACACCACAAGTACATCTGTGAGGGAACTTGACATCATATTCAAAACTTTTGGGATTTCTGTTTCTTCCCGGTAACTCAGCATTCTCCAAACTCTCAGTAAATAATATAAGCAACCCTCAAGCTTGGACCCTCACCAGAAGATCAGGAACCTCTGTTTGTGCTGGAACTGAAGCTTTGGGAGTCTCAGCTGCAATTTGCTCTGGGGATACTGAAACAGCAGCTATTGCCTCTTGCTTGTCATCATTAGAGTCCACTTTCTTATGCTCGATACCCATAAAGGGTTTAGGAGCAGGTAGTCTTTTATTAGCATCCACCTGACAATAGTTACATGCCACATGCCTATTAGAGTAATAAAAAAAAGTTGAGATCCTCGAAACTAAAACAGATGCCAAAATTAGTATTTGCAAGAAGGCCAATAAGTGTCACTTCCTTGATACATAGATTATAAATGTTGCCGGTATGATATAATTTGAAGTATCATATTCCTGTATACCATTACATATTTTTGGAAGAATCTGAGTTAAGTTCAGTTGCAGGAAGGTTCATCCGAATCACGAAACATCTTCACGACTTCACTTATACACAAAAGAATCTCGTACGAAAAAGAACTGGTGTAGAATGTTGATTAAGAGGACGAGCAAATCTATCGATATAATATAAAGTTATTGTCAAAGGACTTTGCCACTGCACCACAACTCCGAAGTTGTGGTGAGGGTTATAATTTGATATTCTAACATATGCCCCAGCAGGTCGAGGGCGCTTTTCTTTTAAATCCACTTAGAGATTTCCTGTTTCATTTTAAAGGAACTTGGCAGGGTCCTTTAACAATATGTTAGAATATAAAATTCAGTTTTAAAAAATTAACTTGGCAGTATCATTTTCTTTTAAATCCGCTTAGAAATTTGTGTCAAACAAGGTTTGAACTTGGATTGCTAGGATACATGGCAACCACTGCACCAAAATTCCAAAGCTATGGTGAGGGTTGATGGGTTATAACTTTATAGTCTAACAAAAATAACATTCAAATTTCACCAACTTTTTGACATGCATTAGTAACTATAAGAACAGGGGGTTCAGTTTATAAAGGTAGATAAGACATACATAAAAGGAACGATTTTATATTTATGGTCTAATTTTGGAAGAATTGAAGATTAATTTCAGTCAGACAGGTTCATTTGACTGACGGACTTCACTTCCATAAGAACAAACCTCATGCCAGAAAGAACCGGTTTAGATTACAGGATGGAAATACAAATGCTACATTTACTGATTATAACAAATCCGAATAATGACAAATCTTGCTCCAATTTATACTGATAACCAATATCTACCCAAAAATGAATATTTTTGACATTTGAGGTCAACCATTCACCAAGGTTCAAGATTAAAGAGGATTCAGTACATTAAAAATTAAAACAATAAAACAATAAAACCAAATTTTAAGTAAGAACAATGACTTAAGCAATATGTATATTTAGATGCCATTGACTTGGCAGGGTAAAATTCCTGTTTCATTAGGTCAGGAGTAAGGGGCTTAAGAAACAACATGTCCAAAAAATGAGGGTACATGAACAACGTCATAAATTGATAAATGAAAATATGTCGAAGAAGAATAATTGTTTCAACTCATAAATAGCTAAAATTTGACCTTATAACTCCGTTATGTCAGATTATCCTATTTAAACTTCTACTTGCATCCCTGCAACTAAGAATCTTTGTTTTATTGTAACATGAATTCCTTTAATGCCACAACTTAACCCGACAATCACATTATAAAGATAGTTCAAATGGTAGATCAAAGAGACCAATGCAGTGACTTGAGAGCCAGACTTTGGGCATATATTGTCCATTAGAAAGTGATTTTCCTAATTCTAGCTGCTTAGATGCTTTCTCAATTCATCATTGTTCCTAAAGCCATGAACAATTATGGGGAGTATAATTTCTACCTCTTTCTACATGTGGTTATGAAAGCCTCTTAAAACCACTTTACACCACCAAATTTTTTTAGTTGGGCCTCCCAAGCAACTGGGAGAAATCAAGGTTAGACCTCCATGTCTCATTTGGATGTGAATACGAGGCCAAAAACACCCAAAAAAAAAAAGAAAAAAGAAAATGGATGGGGAACATGAGTTAAGGGTAGAGGTTCAATTAGGAAAAAGAATCAGAAATGCTAATCATGCATAACTGTCGATGAGGTACTAATCTTTTTTATTGTCTAGAAGTTTAATCGACGAGGAAATAATGTTCTTTATTGTCTAGAAGTTTAATCGACAAGGTAATAATTTTCTTTATTGTCCAGAAGCTTAATCAACTAACTATGAAAAGCCTGAACCATCTCCATCAATTGATTGAGCAAATCATAATTTCGTAATTCAGTGATGTCATATCATCAATCAGAAAGGGGATCTTAAGAATAATTTTGTTATGAAGTTTACGACTGTGTGTAATGCATCCTTCACGTACTATTTCATTAAACATTTCACAGGTACTACAAATTTACTAACTTCACCACATTTAGGTTAGCTGGTTGAGTGCGTAATGCATCCTTCACATACTCCTCCATTGCATCAATAAAGGATACATCCGGCTGTAGGAAAACAAGACATGAAACGGTTAACAATCAAGGATACAATATATCAAGAACTTATAGCAGGAAGTTCTAGTTGAGATTCTCTAAGCAATGGAAGACAACTATTCTAGGAAGTATAACTCTGGAAGACGTATACTTGTTCAGTTTCGGTAAATTTCAGCTCCCTCCCAAGCTCAAGGCCCTTACAAATTTCATAGAATTCAGACAGCCTTTCCGCCTATAATCATATGTGTTCATGTCTCAAATACAACAAATGGTCCAAAAAAGCAAGCTGGCAAACTGACAAGTACAACCAAGTTTGACAAACATGCATACAATAATCAAAGTTCAGCACTTACCTGATATCCGGCCTTTCGGTAAATTTCGAGTGCCCTGAGGGCATCATTACGCTGCATCTCAAAAAACTGCCATACAAACGTAAAAAATATGCATGTTACCTTGCCAACTAACTTTTGTTATATCTGTATGTAGGCTGCATATCACAAGGAAAGGCAGTGTGTCACCTTGTCAACCAAATTGAGAGTACAACCAGTGATTGCATTGTATATCTTTGTACTTTCACTGGCAACCTGCACAAAGACACTCATGAGGTGTTAGAAGTTGAACGTTCACCAAAACAACAACATTAAATCCTTGAAGTTATGCTTACAATTGAAAGTGCATATTGAATCACACTATTGTAAATAGCTGCTCCCTCTGGCTGCAAAAGCAAACATATGTTTCAGCAAAAACAAACACAATTGGAAGACGTGGTTACTTATGTATGTTCAACTTGTGTACCTGGCAGCCAAGCAGGCGAAGAAGAAGCTGTTGTAGAGAAGGTAAGTGCTCAAGCAAGTCAACAGTGTCAAGATCCAATGTTCTCTGTTAGCAAAACCTCATATTAGGATATGCCGGAGCTCATAAAGTGAATAAAATAAGAAAATTATTATCCCACTACTCCTTTTTCTAAGCAAACAAGTAATCACTAGACTTGCAGACATATTGTGGCAAATTTCTCGTACATCATAACATTTTGTCATCCCTTTTGATAATTGAGAAATACTCCTAGGAAAAGTGAGTCTAACGACTCTAATCAGAAAGAGGAAAATGGAGGATGCATCACCTAAATTATAGAATTAATCTGGCATTATCTGGATAGAGAATGAGGAGAACAAGACAAAGCTGTTATTGTTAACATAATATAGAACAATGCAATCGATAAGGTTTTCAATTTTCATTGAACTCTACTCTGAAGGAAATCTCAGACATCATGCACCGGCCATTCCAAATCCTTCTTGAATTTTTTCATCAGAAACCATAAAGTAAAGTAGTCAGAATAGAGCCAAATAAACTTGATTGCTAAAAAGCTGACACTTTCCCACTTATGCAACAAGGGTTAAAAGATTATCTGAAACTTGACAAGTAAATAGGACAAATGGAGCACAATTCAGAAAAATCCAAGTAAATAGGACAAATGGAGCACAATTCAGAAAAATCCTTGGTAGAGATAGACTGAGTGTTCAGAGGTAGATAGTCAATAAATATTTGAGCACCTGACAAGTTACCAAGTTCATAAGAGCAGTTAGTTGTATCATGCACTTGTGAGTACTAAGGTGACATGTATGATTGTGTGCGTCTATTATCTATTACTATAATTTAAGAGAAGATAGGCTTTTGGTCACAATTTCAGGTTAGCTACCCCCATGTGAATCACACTTCAAATCGAAGAAATGTACTCACAAATGAAAACGATTTAAAACTCACACGAGGAGCAAACATGGAAATATCACAAAAAAGTCCAATTTCACAGCAACA